GCTTTAATCCATTTTGCCCAAGACGGAACGTTTTCTCGTTCACTGATTGGCTAAACCAACTGGAACAATTCCTTGTGCTGTGATTGGCTAATCGAAGTGAGAAATTCACCAGCTTCAAAAGCCAAGTTTTTTCACGAAATGTGAAACGTGTCTTCAATATTTGGGATAATTTTGGTTTTTCAAAATACGTAGTTTACTTTAGTTAACAGTTCAATACAAGATCAAAAATAATGAATAGTACAATTGAATAGTACAATTAAGACAATAGGTTATTGTCTACAATATTTAAACCKATCTTGATGTTCTTGGTTCATTACCGGGTACACTTGTATAGTTTCCTGAWAAGATTGAACCACAAGTGTTATGCAAATATTACCGAAGAAAAAAAAACCCAAATTTTATAATTCGTTCTTATTAAAGATATRAATGCTGCTGACCATATTCGCCTGGGCAACGTGAACGAAAGTAACAATAAAGTAAAAATCGGAAAGTGAAAATATATTAATCCTTGTCAGTATATCATTCGTTCTTATTATGGATATCTGACCACATTCGCCTGGGCAACGTGAACCAAAGTAAAAACCAAAATAAAAAACGAAAAGTGAAGATATAGTAATCCTCGTCAGTATTGGGCTGGTTACACCTCATTAGAGAAAAAACAACTTAAAAAATATATTACGACTTTAGTTGCCATCGCAACGAAGTATGAATGTATCCGACGAGCTAACAACTTTAAATAATATAATAAACTTGAAGCATCATTAAAGAGGCTTAGCAAGTATTATCACTAAACTAAAGTCAGACAACGCTGTACATCATTTATGTACATCTTTATTTTGTGAATTTTTAACTCTGTCAGTTTCTGAATAGCCAAAATAAGATATTTTCTAAGATCATTATCTTTGAGTTGGTGCTGGATGGTTGAGAGATTACGGGACGTGCCGCGATATCGAGCGTGCAATATTGATGCGAGAAGCTGCTAAAATAAAACCGTACAATACCAAAGGAACCGCTTCAAGACTTACTCGCGTCCTACCTTTTTGATATCACGAAAAAATCATTCATAAACTAACCTATTTTTTTCGAAACTGTTTCGAGATATACGAAAACAACTTACTACGTGAAGTAAAAAATATATAATAGAGTAAAAGAACAATTTTGTCAATAAATTTAAAAGGGTGTGACCTAGTACTGGTACATAGCAATTAAAGACGACTCGCAAGATGATTGGTTTGTTGGTTTGCGTGATGAGATATATTGCATCTGAGAAACCAACARCAAAAAACAACCAATAGGATCTAAGAAATCCGCCACAACAAGTGCTGGGGATCGCGTGAGGAAGATTTTCGTGAGTAAATTTTGCTTGAGTTCGTGATCTTAAACAATAAGCTAGTCATGTACTTACTCTATAGTCGTTATATAAACAAGCCTTGTTTGTCTGGGGTCAGTCCATTTCACAGCAGGAGAGACTGAAAGCAAAAGGCAAAATTCAAGAGTAAATACCATAGAGCACTTGAAGGTTGCAATCGACCAACGGGAGAATTCCTCAAGCCTATCTCTTTAAACTCCACTAGTTAGGTAAGTCACCTAAATTTTGTACGTAAGCTCTGTTAGTTATGAGACAACACATAAAACATATTAGTTTTCGGTTCGTATAGCTATCAACCGATGATAAAAATGGYTTTCCATCGACTGAAAAAGAGCGTAGGTACAAAAACCCGAGCTTTTCCATTGACTGACAAAGAGYGTAGGCACAAAAACCAAGTCGATACCTGAACTTGAATTGTAAGTTCTGATAATAGGTTGTCTTTGTAGAAAGAGAACAAACTTTTCTCCTACTATACGAATGYCATTCGGAGATTTTCTCTCTCGAAAAAGGAGCGTAGAGCTTAGGGCATTAAAATAGTGAGAGTTAATTTTTTATGTTTAGACGATGAACTTAGCAATAGCATTTAACAAAATGRCATGTTTTATTTTTCAGAAATTTAAAGAATTGAAGATACGATGAATCCATCTTTGTCAGAAGAACAATCCAAACCAGCCCTAGTTTCCGAAGGAGGTGTTCCATTGGAACTCAATACCWGCAATGATGTCACCATCTCGAGCGAACAAATCAGCGAATTAGCCAATCAGCTTGCAAGTATTGGTGACGAGCTGACGGCGAAGTATGATRGTTCGGCGTGCTCAAGACACGTGGCAGTGATGATGGCTGGTATTGCGGCAGCACGGGTTGGTTTCCATGCCCTGCTCGCCATTATTCATGACGGCTGATGAAGTTTTTGAGGTGACGCCGGCTGCCTGGAATTAAACCGCCGTTTGAAAGAAGTTTTTTACGAACGAAAAAGCCATTTGGTGTAGAGTAACAAGAAGGCCAAAWCTTGAAGTCACTGCCGTCAAAATARATCTTCTATGAAGAACAATTAAAACTTCTTCTTCTCAGTGGCTTTTCAAAGACGAAATGACGGTGGATCAGCCTAAACTCAAAAACTCCGTAATCAAAACCCGCGGCCATCTTTCCTTGGACTATCGGTCGGCAGATGAAAAGACATTCAGCAAGAAAGTYCTTGAACAATACAGAATTAGTATGATTGTATAATTACAATCACGTATCGAACGATATTTGGGGACGTCGTGGTCAGAATTTTGAGGCCGATATACGATTTGAAAATTTGAAACTCGAAAGGTTTTTCTTTTCGTATTCTTGTGTTACAAAAGMAATGGAGTTTAGTGAAACCGAAAGTGATATTAAAATGCTTAAAACTTACCAGTGTCGCCATTTTTTTCTTTTACTTTCCAGCAAACGTACTTGTTAACTATGTCGAGTGATGGTAGACCAGGACAGTCCAGAACGACCCACATAACAAACGCCGTTTTCTCGTGAATATTTTACGATCCTTCATGAATTTCCAACAAAAATATAAATAATCCAAAACTAATAGAGCCATGACACGATGAATGAAGTAAGCTTGAGTAAGAAGGACTAAAATCGATATAAACGATGAAAGGATTGTTCAAMGGGAATATTCCCGACAGATGTTTCGCTCTCAATAACAGGTCAGGACAAAGATAGTAGATGTCGACTCGCTCTGTGATTGGCTAACCAAGGTGAGAAAATCACCGGTTGTAAAAATGGATCTACTAGGGAAATACTTGTTAAAATGTATTGTTTTCTGACTCTGTTCAAGGATTCAAAGTGATAAAATACATTAAATATAGTTTAAGGGGAAAAACAAAGTACGTAATGGTAGAAAGTCGGGTTTTTTTCCATGTTAATTTTGAGGTCAGTTTTGCTTTTTTCTGAGGAAGTTTTTTTGAGGTACTGCAGCACGTCTTACGAATTATAAATCAGTCCGTAATTTGAAAAAAAAAAAAAAAAAAATTGCAATTTCCTTTTCAATAACATTAGCGTACCATTGTTATCACCTTGTCGACATGGCAACTGCACATATAGGAAGATATTCTTTAATCTTTCTAATCGGAAGACAATAGGGTCAATAATTAATCGTTGTAGTTTTGAATTTTTTTTAATCTTTAAAGGTATAGTTTAAAAAAAATATCACAAAAACGTTTCCACTCCACATTTGCTTTTTTCTGTCTGCTTTTTAGGTCAGTTCAAGTTCAAGTTCAAGTTGATTTTTTTTTTTTTGATATTGAAAGAAAGACTGAAATCATATAGTAAATAAACAACAAAACAAAACTTTTACAAGTAAACAAAATAAGTGTCTTTTCGGGTGTTCAGGGTTCAGCTGTGCAAATTTACCTGTATTACTTAAACTAGCRCCGCACTTTGAACTTTAATTGTTGGATTCCTGGCTACTTTTCTAGAGTGCACAGTTGTATACATAAATCAAAGCTTCAGCTTGAAGACATCCACGAGCCTCCTTATTTTTTATCTCAGAAAACCTAGTATTGAATTCTGTGGTGTAAATCTTTTTTCTTTCCAAAAACCGGTTTCCATTTTGCAGCGCGCACGCAAATTTGCTTCCCGCCATTTTGACTCGATGTTGCGTTTCGATGCTTTTTCTCTCGCTTCAAAGGTTCTCTCTTTAAAAAAAAGAGTTAACATATCTATCTTCAGTAACTCAATGGAAGAATAGTTAAGAGGGGAATAGTATTCCCCTAGACATCTTTATGTATGTCATATATTGTACACAATTTCTAATCCTTTCTTTCTTTTAAGAGGACAATTAATATTTATACTTTAAACTAATATATACAATTACTTTCGTGTGTTTGAACAACCCTCTTTTCTTCTTGCCATTATATTTCAGAAGTATTATCATCACAAGCAAGATTACAGCAAGTTTYAACAAACAAAATTTGAAGCAAGTTGTGCTAATGATTACAAACACATGGCACCTAAAAGAATTTCCGATACAAAATCGAAACGACTGGGGAAAAAACATTTCGCACGACTCCACGGTTCCTATGGCAACGATATTCAACATAGCTAAGCATCATAGTTGAACCAAAGTACTTTTACYATCACCAAGCGCATGTCTTAGTCTGGAGACCGCTGACTGCATATACCATACAGACATTTTTTGTTGTTGTGCTAGAGAGTCCCCTTATTCAAGGCAACAATGAAACTCCCAAGAAAAAGTTCATGATTCAGAGAAAACATATATAACTCAAGTCCCTATGGCAGCAACTCTGAATATCTTCCAGCAACTAGACAAAAGTTCAAATTTTATTATACGCTTTTGAATTCACCTCTGAATTTATCTCTAAAACATTGCTATCGTTGTYACTGAAACGTGTGACAAAATACATTAATTACGAAATTTATTCCGGTACTTAATGCATGACACTATATTCAATATTTCATCTTCGTCGGTTCATTATCTGGTTTTTCATGATTCATCCTGTCCATTGTCGTCCATCGTAAATTCAGTGTTTACAATGGGCCATTACATAGTCTCCCCCACAGCCGCTTTCAGTGTCGTCACGCAACGCTTTCTCCCCTGAGTAGCTACTCAGGGGAGAAAGCGTGCGTGACGACACTGAAAGCGGCTGTGGGGGAGACTAGCCATTACAAGGTTCTTCGTAATCCTAGATTTATRCGATCCATTTTGTAGTTGATCATCACAGGTCCTCCATGGTCCATTATGATTGGGTCGATCAAGGCACACGTGTAGATCGTAAGTCCATTATCTTGTTCTGTATATAAAAGTCCCAGATCTTGATTCCCAATGTTAGGAGACTTAACAAAGGCGTGTATGATAATGATGACCTCTGGATCATTTCTATTTTTTTGATTCATCGTTAACAGTCCGCAGTAGATCTTTCAAGCTTAATGGATCACTTCTTGGTTACCCGAACCAGGGTCGCAAGTCGTACGGCGAAGTTCATCTCTCTTTCATCTTTCATATTCTTTTGAATCAAAATTCCTYCTCGTCAAGTTAGCTAAGGTCAAACTTGATCGTAATCGTATTTCTTAACTTTTGTCTTCATCAAGACATTCTTGGCCTTATCATAGAAACCAAAGAACACAGCACCGCCGACAGCAATCCATGTTACACGAACTGACGCTCCTGCAAACAAACTGGAATCCGAAAAATAAAAAAACGTTCGTAAATTCAAAAAAAAAAGTCGCTTCTTAATTCGAAAATCAAGCAAGTAGATAATAAATAGACCCTCTTGGTGCTATATGTTCAAATCACGTGTCATTCCCTTACGGTGTCATTTCTTTGTTTAACGGTTGCACACAAGACACATGGAAATGGATATCATGTATTCCCATTACAGACCACGTGTCATTCCCAAGGGTATCATTACTTTGTTTAACGGTTGCGCATGACTTTGTCAAGGGCACCTTAATGCTCCCGTAAGAAATGGATCTATAAATTCCAGGAGTATTCAAGTACTAAATTGTGATGAAGATGATGATGAAGCTCGCCACTACTTACCCTCTTATTCCCTGTTCTTTTCTTATTAGGATAAGCATACGGTATATACCCAACTTTGCTTCTAAAGTATCTTTCTGTAAGAAATTATACTGTTATTTATTTTGAAAATAACATACTATRGGCTACGGTTTGATGCGGCTACGTCGCGGAAACAACTTCACTTTTCTCTCTTCTCATTCTTTTGTATACTTCATCCCCACTTCTTGTTGTTTTTATTTTGCTCGCTTACATAAATTTACTGATCTCTTTTTTCCCTGCATAAAAATGCTATCCCATTCCGATTTACAACCGTCTTTTCTCTAAATAATGACCGCCCTCATATTTTTGTTTTGTACGTTTTTCTTCTGTTTGTTTGTTTGTTGGATTTTCAACGGCGGCCATCTTGACAAGTAACCAGACGACAAACAAGTCTCACTTCCGTTCAGAGGCTTGGTTACTTCCATAATGRCCGTCACGTCTACGAGAGGGTGAACGTAATTTTCAAGTAAGTGCCTTGCAAAATTTAAATCTTTTTTTATCTAGATAATTTTGATTTTCTTTTTGCTTACATTAGTTATTTTGCCGTAGTTAAGCTTAAATTTGTGGCATTATTAATTAGTCAAGAATTGGACCCACTTTTTGGAGTGTCAACCACGTAAAAGTATAAAAAAGACTAAAGGTTTCTTGGAATCCAATCCTTTTTATCCAGTTCTTCGTTAAAAGTAGTTCCAACTCGATACAGAAATGACAAAAACCACTCATAAATCTTACTTGTGCCAGCATGATTCTTGTCTTCACGACATCAAGAGGTGTGGTAATACCAGCAGCGACTCCTCCTAATTATCATATTGCCATAGAAACAGTTGAAAAGATGAAACCTTTATTATAGTGATACWCGCAGGGGGACATCAAGGCTTGGACCAAAGAGTATTTAATCATCATTAATGTATTTTGAAACAACTTGGGTTAAGTATTTGGTCATTTTAAGTAATCATAATAAAGGGGTTTTAATATGGTAACCATGTTGTGTGGCAGAAACAAGGCAATGTTTCTTGTGCATGCAATTTTTTTCCTAAAGGATAAAATTCTCATTGTTCCAACAAAATGGCTGCCGAAACCCCTGTATGAAAATTTAGGACTCTGTTCTCAAAAAACATATCCAGAAATTGCACTAAAATTAGCAAAAGAAATTTTCAGTTTGGGCATAATATTTTCCCATTTCAGACCTGTGTCATTCTCAAGAATAAGATTCTTTGTTTGAGTTGTRTCCATATTCATGTGTTTTCTTATGTGCAACTGTTAAACAAAGAAATGATACTCTAGGAAATGGCACATAACGTGAAATGGGAAAACATTACACACAAGCTGAAAAGGCCTGTTCAGTTAATCCTGTTATATGGTTTGATGTAGGTTTGGAAGAAGTAGACAAGGTGTGTCATTTTTAAAACCAGTCGGATATGMGCTTACCAGCCACTGCCCCACAAACAGAAGATTGGACTGCATTGACTTCGTAACCTTGGTAATTGGACCAGCCAGTCTATAAACAATCATAACATGAACATAATCATATATCATGCGAGACAATATTGACCAAAGCGATTCGGAAGTAGTACAATACTTGGTCTGGTCATGACAACCACAGGAATCCCGACCATAACAAATCCTAAATACAGAGTTGCACATTGAGAAAGCTGGCAGTTACCTTTAAAAGCTCCCATAATGGAATTTCGACAAAGGCAAAAGGTACCTAATGAATGAAAAATACAAAATACTGAATTAAAACAAAAATAGTAGAGTGTATTTATTTGACCTTTGAAACAAAGTACTTAATTAGTGAATAACATTCAAAGTGAATATGGTACTAGGTAATTAATGTCATCATTGCTCTTTCACATGCATAGTTTAAATAATAATAATAATAATAATAATAATAATGGGGTTCTTCTATAGCGCATTTCACAATGTCTCAATGCACTTTACAATGCAGTGGAGGACTTTACGAACTGCATATTAAGGCGCTATTAGCAGCCGTGCAGCTTACAATCATAAGTGAAATACCAAAAATTGATAAACCTTCCTCCCAAGAATTAACAGTCAAACTTATAACTTGATGTACTTAGTAAGGTAAAAGACAATGAATGATAAATGTAACATTATACAAACCTCTCTTATCACCATACTCTGAAATCCTCTGTAAAGACCTCGAAAACCCTACAAAGATTTTTTTCCRAAAATTCAAAATGAGATAGCATGAATAGTGGTTGACCAAATGCTAGGTTTCCATGCCCTGCTGGTTATTTTGACCAGTAATGTTTAGCCTGCAGAAATGAGGTACGACTAAGCGAAAACTAATTAGGCCTGTGATGATTGACACAGATTGGCTGTTATTTCAAGCCCTGCGATATGCGTTCAGTTGCACACGTGGATCAAGTAGAGTCTCAAATTTGCAAGAATGTGGAAGAAGAAAGTTAATCTATCAATGTAAAAAAAATGCATTGCTTACCTCTTGTGCTAGTGTGAATCTTAATGCTTGAAGACTAGATGTATTTGAGTAGGCCTGAGCTCTTTGTTTGACCACTTCAAATGGTRCCCTTACGACAAGGGATGCCTGAAACAAACCATGAATAACAGTTACTATAAATTTTCCTTATTAATAAGTAATAATTCACTTTTTTCATGCTATTACCATATACCATGAGAATATTGTTTTATTTCGGGGTATACTGAGAAAGGTAATAAACAGACCATAAACAGTCCCTCTTTTTTTCTCAAAATTTTCCATATTTTTCTGAGGAGGGAGATCTGCTGAACAAAACTGTACTAGAAAGTGGTTGAGACTATGTCCTACTAAAGTGTGTAAAATCCTTAAACTGCTTTCTATGTGTTGAATTATTCTAATTCATGACTGATTAAGCATTTCATAATGATTAAATCGCCAAGTTTATGATGACAAGATTTCTTTTACTTGATGTTTCGATGCCTATAGGCATTATTCTCAAGATTGACAAAGCAATRAATTCTAGTTTACTTATAACAATGTCAGTGAATAATTCTGTCATCTAAATGTCCTATGGGAAAAATACTTTGGTTTAGTTGGTTGGAACTTTTTGATGGGTATATTTTTGCACTCTGCCTTATAATATTAGAACAGTATTATCCCAAAGACTAATAGTTCAAAATAATTAACTCTCACCACTTCGCCAAGCACAGCTGAAGCCATGTAGATGGAAGGCAAAAATGAAGATGAAAGGTGTGGCATCAGGATGTTTTTGCTCAGCTCATAGGTTGCAAAGAAAGTTGCAGCTGCAGATTATGGAAAAAAGGTAAACTTTGCTTTCATTGAGGTCATTATCAGTCTTGTTATGCTATATCAATCAAGTATTATTTTTTTCTATGAGGGCTTTAGTGGAGAAAGTACATCATAAAACTGGTGCCAACTTGGTTGATATCTGCTACTGATATTGAACTTTCTTTCCACCTCAAGAAAGTTAAGAAAAGAGATTACCAAGAAAGACCTTTTTCTGAGACCCTATTCACCCCTCCTTTTTATTTGTAAAATTCCAGCTCCCTTCCCATGGATGTTCTATAGATGTGTTCATGAAATATCTTTCGTTTGGCATTACATTGTATTTTATAAAAGATGTTGCATCATTCATCATGAGTTTTTGTGTCTTTTTCCTATACACCTGGGCCAGGTTATATGAAGGGTAAATAGCGCTATTCAATGGATAAATCCTTATCCAGTGGATAAGTTAGTGCTGTTCAGTGACGGATCCAGGATTTTTCAAAGGGGGGTTCCATTTCTTAAACTGTGTATAATTCTCTTTTTTTTAGTCGATGTCTGACAAAAAAATTGGCTCTAATCACCTAATTTACTATCTAGTAACRGAACTTAAAGGTAAATTAAACATTATAACAGCAAATATTTATCATTTCGTGTTCAACATTATCCTTGTGGATACTTTTAAGCAAAATTTATATAAGACATATTTCTATTACCTAAAAGATCAAACCTTCAAGGGGGTTCCGTGGAACCCTTCGAACCCCCCCTGGATCCGCCACTGCTGTTATTCAATAAATTTATCCACTGGATATGATTTATCTGTCAGATAGCACTATCCACCCTTCGTACAAATGGGCCCTATRCTACAGTAGGTCAAATGATGTATAATCTAATTATATCATATCATTATCATGAAACTAACCAGCTGGYGCAGAGCCTGCAGCTGCTGATGCAACACCAGAATACAACCTCCTAAAGCCACCAGCCTTGAAGAACCCATCAGCTGACTGCAAGCGTGTCTTGATGGTATCCAATGGAAACAGAATGATGTCAACTGCTGTACCAGCTATACCTCCTGACTGAAGGCGAAGAAAGTAAGCTTGTATATTATCTATTCCGAGATTAAATGAAAAACTGGGTGGAGATGGCATTGCCGTGCAGTATGGGACTGTTTTAGGGGAAGAAATCGACGTCATCTTGGAAATGTGTCCTCTAGAACAGTCCTACGATCCGCTGGGGTACCAAACCGTTTCAGTTTTTCCTTAACCTTGAAATAGCTAATTAACTCTTTTAGCTATAAGACCGGGCTAGGATATCTAGAATGCTTTACATTTTATATTGAACTATATAATCCCAGATCGTATGATTTGATGATAAATTAAGCAGGGTATCTTAAAAACTGAGTGTAAGTAACTAACCACGAGAGATACTCCAAACGGCACAGGGACTACAAAGCCAACAAACTTCCCCTGATCGCTAGAAAAATTGGTATTTTGGTCTGTCATGACTGAAATAGGAAAATCAGGTAGCTACAGGGTTATTTAATACTCATTAGCTACGTGTAATGATCATGTAGTGATTCCATATCAAAAATTGCCGGTTTCGACAACAGTGTCCAGTCCCTCACGTTCGTATTACCACAGGGATCCGTGGTACGCAAGCGAGCTGAAAAGCAAGGAAAAGCAAATCCTGCGAAAAAAGACAACAGATTTAGCGGGGAGTTCAATTTTTTATTAGTTTATAAACTCACGAATAGCACGAATGAAAAAATAACTACTTTATGAATTTATTTATTATAAATTTTGTTTAATGGATTAAACATTGTAAGCGTGGTGTTTTACTCAGCGAGATATGTGAGACTCGAGAATTCTCCAGATTCATGAATAAATAAATAATATAGACTTTAATCATCTGAAATCCATGTAAATACAAAAAACTGTGTTTATTTTAAATAATTGATATCCAAGCTGTTACTAACTATTATAGCTTGTCGACACTCGCGCAAACTGTAAATATTTAGACTAATTAAGTCTTCTAATTAGTTGTGTAATTTGTACACATGTTCGTTGTCCATAGTTAAAAATATATACAAAAAAATAGAGAAATTCTTGATGAAAGAAGACATAATCGCTGTGGATCGAGCCTGTTGTGAGATACTCATTACATATGGCATGGACAGAGAATGATTGAATTGTGTAACGATCAATTGAAGACTATGGCCACCTGGTATACTGACTGAGTTCACTAAGAAACTTGGAGCATTGTTGTCGCAGTTGGAAGGAGAATTCCATGGTCGGTRCGCGTTTAGATACGTCGATACTAGCATGCTAAATGCTTTCTAGAGTAATGTTGAATGTAAGAGAATTAATCTTTATATTCATGCGATATTTGGACCAATATTCATGATGAAACTTTGAGCCCCGAGCATTTGGAATTTTTATTCGCCGTACTGATTTTTCGGGAATATAAAAGAAGTGTACGCTGAAAGAACGAGTTGAAAATGGAAGACTCCCGAGAGAAGTTCTCCTTTGAGATAGACGACCTGTCTTCAGCAGATAGCGAACTGTTCGGTAGTGAAGAAATGGGTGATATTAGTGAACTTTTGGAAGACTTTGAAAAACAGCGAGACGATACAACTAACAGTGAAGAGGACGTGCAAGTCCCCAGTGAACACAATATCACAAAAGGTTAGCATACTAGATGATGGTGCACACGTGGGCCAAAAAGTCTGCAAAATTGTTTGGTTCTCTGTAGGAAAAAAAAAACCCCAAATATATTCAGTTCACATAATTTAACTAGGGGCTTAGTGGGTGAAAATCTGAGCAGTGGTTTCAAACATTCGTCCACTTGTTTTAGGAAAAGAAATGTCCATTCTTTACATGTAGAAGTAATCAGACTTATTAATACAAATCCATGTAATCTCAGGCATTGGCGTTAAGCTATTCTTTGTTATTTTACAAAAATAATCTTTTTTAAATATAAAATTATTTGATGCAATTATGCTGTACTGAGTTTTTCAATATTCAAAAACACAACAGGTCAAAGGTGTCTAACACATCGTTGAATCAAGTCGCCAGTAATATTGGCGTTAAATGATCTTGAATTTTAATCTTAATATTAGTTATTTTAATTTTAACTTGAGCCAGACTACTCTACATTAATTTGAAATTTTCATTTTCAGATTCGAAGGGGTCAAGAATTCCAAATTCGAGGGACAAAGGAATGTTGGAAAAGAAATCGAAACCTAAGGAAGGTTTATTTGCATCTGCAAGTAAAATTCCAGTTCGCATAAATAATAGCAGTTGTACAGTTAATAAAAGATTAGACAAAGAACAGTTCAAAAGAAACGAGAWGATGACAAATGAAGGCAAGGAGAGTGGAATGAAGAAAGAAGAAATGGAGCCAGAAGATACGACAGCTCKTAATCAGGAAAGTGTCACTTTGCGAACACACGGAAGCATGGAAAGTGCAAGAGAAAAATGGGACGAAAGTAATGGAGCTAGAAGCAATTTAACAGAAACAGAGTCTACTGAAATAGTTTTTTTAAAGCAAGGAGAAATTAAGAGAGAAAGGAATTATCAAGACAGAAAAATATTTTACCATATTGTTGATGCTGTGGACGATGTAAGCGAAATAAAATCTATGAGTGAGAAAAAAGCCGGGGACTACAACGTCAAGGAGAAAGACTTGAATGTTCAAGGACACGTCCAAGAGATGGCCAATATTTTGTTAGAACAAGGAGAAATTAAACAAGAATGGAATCAGGAACCTGAAATTTTAGCCTTGGATGGTGTTGATGGTGAAATTATAAGGGAAAAAGAATTAATTAATGAGATGAATCAAAGTGACCAGAATATCAAGGAGAAGGACTTGCAGGGTCAAGAGTGTGTCAAAGATAAAAATGAACATTTAGATGATATTGTAATTCCTTCGCTGCCTGTCTATGGCGAAGGAAGCAATGAAGACTCTCTCAACAATAGAAATGACAAGAATGTGACAAAGAATAACATGAGCAATGGCATTTTTGTCATGTGTACAAATCAGAGAAAAAGCATGGAGTTTGGTTCGCCACCACTCGAAGCTGATAACGAACAACTGAATAAAGGACGATCAAACTTCAAGGATTATGAGAAGAACGAGGAATGTGCACTTGCAGGTCAGAAGGACATTGCAACACCACCACTTATTCGATATACGCAAGGTTTTAGTGATGATAATGAAAAAATGAAGGATGAAAATGATCACAGTAAAATGAAGAAAAACGACCCGGGCGAAAATAGTAGCTCTCCTAATTTAGAAAATGTAACACTACTAATGTCATCATTAGTTGGTCAAGGCAGTGATGTAGAAACTGGAGATGATAGGAGTAGTGCTTTAGCGGATAAAAAAGCAAAGGTTTATGAATTAAATGAACAAGTGAATCCATCCTTGACCGAAGGAGGTAGCGGATGCCACGAATCAAATCGCAAAGGGAAAAGGAAGATAAAGGACTTAAGTGATAGTAGCTTTGAAGTCAATCAAATTGATGAAATTTCTTCAACATGTGTTGATAGTGGAGGCGTCATGACCAAAGATGATAAATCAGGAAAATTGATTGGTAAGAAATATGTGGCACATAATGGGAAGAAAACGGATCTCGATGAACTTACAGCCAGTGATGGTGATGAAATCTCCTCGGTAACTTTGGATGGAGAAGAAATGGTTTATGATAATGAAATCGAGAGAAAAATAAAATTGAATGACCAATCCAGACATTCCAGACATAATAGTGAGCAAGAAAGGGAACATCTTCGTGCCAGTGATGAAACAGAACTTGACATGGATAGAGAGGAAAGTCGTGGAGCAATAAGTTTAGCCGATGATGGTGAGGGCGATGAAAGAGCCACGATGAGCAGCATTAAAAAGTCAACTTATCATGAAGAAAAAGCAGAAAAGGAAGAAGAAGAAATTGGGACGGAATTTGATATTATAAGCGCCTCAAGTATTCATTCGGATGATATTCATAGTTCTCGGAAAAAGGTTCGCCAAAATGAAACCAAATTTGAAAAGCCCAAGAACGAGGATGATAGTGACAATTCGTGTGATGATAGCAATATTGAATTTGATGATGATGATAATAACTGTGGCGTCCCTGATGATGCTGTCAAATCAAAGAAACCTGGCAACATTCTGATTGTTTCAAAAACGGCACAGAACATAGTGAAAGATGTTGCTGTATCAGGAAGG